CCAAGTGGCGAGCAAAAATTGGCGAACATATATTTCAACCACTGCTTTGGCATTTCTTCCTGTGATAATGTCAAGGAACAGTTCTCTCCCAACCAGAAATTGAACCCAAATGGGCAAAGAAGTGCTCACTTCAGTTAAGGTAGAAGGAGGCCGCACATAAAGAGGGATTTGGTGGGAGAGAAAGGGAAAAAATAAGGCGTTGAATTCAGAGTATAAAAAAATGTGAAAACGTCTCTGCTGGACATTTTTACAGGGCTCAATTGATGAATGAATAACCCATAACAACTAACTGTTTGAGGAGGGGATGGTGGAGCATCAAGTTGTGGAAAATAGGCTCTCAACCACAATTGAGCAAGCCAAGAGGCCCACTACCAGTAGGAGATGCATCATTCTTTAATTGGAGTTGGAGGGAAGTCATGACTCTATAAAAGGCTACTAAAAAGAAATGAACACAAATTCAAAGACCTGTCACGTGCTAATTCATGCGATAGAAGAGTTCAATGAGGGTTTTAGGTTGGGGACACAAAGAATATATTTACAGAGCTAAACCTGAAGGAAGGCAACACGCTCAGCATGAGTATGCTCAAAATTAGAAGCAGTATAAAGGCCTTGCATGCTTGAGTAAGATTCGACAGCTTTCTTGTCAAATTATGGGGCAATACTGGAAATCAAAATACCGACAAAGATAGTATCGCCAGAGGGCGGAAGATCCAATAGGGTTCCAACATCCCTTAGAGTGATGGACATTGGGTCAAGAGGAAAAATAAAAGTGTTATACTTAGAAGACCAGAAACTCAGGACTATTGGGATACCTTTATTACGGATTGGCTTCAATGGGAAGGAGTTCAGAAATGGAGGGTCTTCAGTGTAAGGGAACGGTTGGCCCACCGCTTGTTCAACGGCTTCGACATTATTGAATGATGGACCCAGATAGAATTCATTGAGGTCAGCATTGGCTTGTGTAAGGAAGTTTGGATTTACATACGGCCTGGTAAAGATTTTTCGAAAATCTTTGAAATTGAAAGCATCATCAGATTGAGTTTGTGGAGTTGCCATTGAGTGCAAAATACAGTTTTGTTATGGCTTGCCTAAAAAATGTAGCAGAGAAATAAGAAGATGAATAGTAAAATAGCGAGGAAGAAGCGCGAAATATAGAGACGTGGTTTAGTAATGCGATGAAATGGCGTGTCTCTTGGGTTTATAAGTGTTTGTAACATTGCACATTTTCAGGCTATAGAAGGAAATAATGATGGAAATTCTCGAAAATTTCAAATGTTGCCTGGAAAATACAAAGTGAATATGGCAAAGATTAATATTTGGTATTAATTCTACCATTTTGGAGGGTAATTGTCGACACACTAAAAGTGCAATCCAAATTAATTAGCCCAAAGAGTGAAACCCAATTGGAGAGTCCAGGATAAAGGCTCAAATGAGATTATTGATGAATACAGTGGAAGCCCACGAACACAATAACATCATTGCCCAAACTTGCATAACGCCCAGAATTTGAACGAATGGAGTGCCTTATGGTCGCCCAGAGCGATGAACCCGTTCTCGCCCAAACCTTCAAATCGCCTAGGATCTTAGCAAACATAAGATATTCTGGTTATCCAGAATATCAGTTATTGAAGCAGTTATTGAGCAATCTTATCACATTTCACGATTCAAGAAGCTCGGTTGAAGGCGGTTGAACGACAAAGAGTAATGACATTAGTTAGAGACGGTAATTCCACAACAAATTAGCCACAATGAAGAAAGTGGGTAGTTATAGAGCAATCAAGCAGTTTCCAAGCGATTTATCATCAAGGGAATATAAAAAGGAAGAGAAGACGTAGAGAAAAGACCCCAAATCAAATACTCTCAAACGGAGAATATGTAATTTCAATTTCTTAGATTAACCTTAATTATCTATTTTCAGTACTCGTGTGCTTACGCTTCTTGGAGGCATTCTGTTTATTTCCAATTGTAACTCTCATCAATAAAGCATCCATTTTTGGAACTTTATCTCAAGAGATTTGTATCTTATATAATCGTCTGAATCTTTTTTAATTGTTAGCGATTACCTGTGCGAAACACAATGTGTCGAATAATTCTCTAAAATCGACATCAATTCTCTCTTTTAAAAAATGGCTAAACTGTTAAAGTGGGCCACATGTAATCATTTAGATCATGTCTTCAACGCCTATCAAATGCATATCACATTAAGCCCCTGTTTGATACCCATTTTTCAGAAAAAATAAATTCTGGAATAGTGATTGATGGAAGAATGTGTGGTTGAAAAGTAATGAAAATTTTAAATTTGTGTATAATATTATTTATTTGGAGAATGTGTGGTTGAAATGATGAAAGACAAAAAAATGAGAATGAGAATGGGTATCAATATGTACACTTGTTGGATATAAAATCGACAACAAGTGTTTAGCATGTACACCCCTGGATGATAAAATAGTAGCTGAATATTTCAATTACCATACTTAGACTAGCACTAAACGTTGCCGTATGCCTACGGCAACGTTTGGACGTGTGTTGTAAAATTGAGGTGTTGTCATAGAGTAAAAAGATAAGGCAACATTTAAAAGGCCTTTCGCAACGTTTTTTAAACATTGCGAAAGACTATCAAAAAACGTTGCGAAAGGTCTACGGCAACGTTTTCTGCACGTTGTGGCAACTGTCTTTCGCAACGTTCAAAAAACGTTGCCATAAAAAATTCGCAATGTTTTTTGAACGTTGCCGTTGGGTTTTTTTTTTTTTAGAATATGATACAATACCACTTAAATAAAAAGAAGCTTCAAAATGAAATAAAATTACAAGGGAAAAACTCAATCATAAATGGAACACACAAACTACTCTCTTTTTTATTTTAAAAGAAGCTTCAAAATGAAATAAAATAGTAATGAAAAAACTCGATCATAAACAAGGTAAGCATCATTCCGAGAAAATTTGGAATTTCGTTAGAGTCCAGGACATTCAAAAAAGTCGACTAGAAAATAACTATCAAAACCAGTGAAAAGACTGCCGTTCTTGCTCTTCTTAACAGTGACACGGCTGACCCCAGGGATGGGCTTCATTCCTAGTTTTAGCATAGCCTTGTGACTCTTTTTCTCACCCCGGCTCTGCTTTGACCTACCACTGGCATCTTCTTCTCCTGTCAAGAGTTACCAGTATTATATTCATTAATCAAAATACAAAACTGTGCCTCTACTTTTCATTAAGGACTAAAATATAATGGATAGATGAGATTTTAGCTCATGCATACGAACCATTCAAACTAATCAAACTAGGGTAATATCCTAGAAATGTAATAACAAGTTTAGTAGGTATATTTACAAATGATAAACTTTGATATCTAGTTTTCTGCCTACAAGTGAGTCCAATCATGAGTTTTAGCAAAGTGTAATTGAATTTATATCGACTTTGTAAGCATTCTAGGTGGAAGGTGGATCGAAAATGATAGCTTTCTCTTTATGCTCTTTTGAGCAAGAGCACTTGCAGTTGCCAAAACCACCAACCGATAAAAGGAAAAAGAAAAAGAAAAACATAATTATACCAAGCATCACTTACTATGATGGCTACGGCCACCACATCAATTAAGAAATAAGTAGATCAGAAGAGGAGAGTATTAAATCTCACCACATCACTTATTATGTTTGGATCACTTTAACTATTAAATCTAATTCTAACATGTTAAAAACAGAGGTTACTGACCAAATGAGCATTTATTTGTGGAATTATTTCTTTACTTTCAAAGAATAAATAAACTATCATTTTTTACTGATATAATTGACATAATTTTTACTCTATCATCCATTTTAGCACTTCCCTAGGTATCATATCATGCACTCTTTCCATATCAATAGAAAACATATGTTTGTCTTATGTTCTCTATAATATACTGTGTAATAGAATTCACGGTAATTTTTTGTAGAATAAAAACAACTTAGCTGTGTGATACTTTCAGAATATACCAATCTGGGCTCAGTCATCAACTCCCGTTGTTTCATAGTATGACTCATAACTTTATCTCTCTATAGTTTGTGCAATCTTGAGTTTCTTTCATTTATGAGTCTACATCTTTCCATTTTTTAGCCATCTTTTTACACTCACAGATCTCATTAAATAATGTTGTCAACCATAGAATACTCACTGTGCCGGGGATATGGGTCCATCAAATTCGATTGCTTTTCTCTTCTTAATCGTCTTCACAACTTCACACACTACTAAGAACACTATCCAACTAGGAACATGCCTATTTTTAATAGAGTTCGATATATTTACAAGATTGACGACATGCATTCTGTTAAATAAGTTGTGGAATTAATTCATCTAAATTTTGTGATCTCATCTCATCGTTAAAAATAAGTTTCTGATTTTCATCTTTCACACAACTTGGTTAGGATCTCTATTATCTTTTCCTTTGCCAAGATATCTTATTCATCCCCATTATTGGTTCCAAGATGGCTATACTATACTCTTCTGTGAGTGACTCCCGAGATGATCCTTTTTTTCCTTCCCATTAGCTATCTTACCTTTCTCAAAAGCCTTCTTGCATTTTTATATTTTTGCAAAATTTCAGACTTCCCTTCTAGCTTTAACTGTCCACTGAACCTTCTATCCACTGCCACATTTGGTGATTAGCTGGGCTTTACCATAGACTGTATTTTAATACCTCATTTAAAAATAACTAACCACCTTATTCTGCATCTAGTTACTCTCTTCATTTTTGTTGAATTTTCCTTCCATCAAAGTGTCATCATTAAAAGTTACTTTCATTTTACTTAGCAAGTTCTATTTCTTGTTCTTTTCCATGCCTTAATAACCATGTGAATGGTGATCGCTAACTATTCACTTAATAACTAATTGGCATTAACCAAATTAATTATAAACATAATCCAAGAAACAAATTAACAATTAACACAGACAACAAAAAGATGCATTCACGGAATCACCAACCAAAACTGCCCAAAAGCCATCCTTTTCACAGCCAAGAAATTAGAAAATCCTACTACTTCAGCTTCACCAGAGATCCAGAATCACCACAGAATCCATCAGAGTGGATGGAATAATTCGTACCTCACGGTGCTCACCCAAGAATCGAAAACCCAATTCCACCAAGGAAATCCCAAACGGTTTATGTATATGCAAAATATAGATTCAAAGAGAAAAAGAACAGCTAGACTTCCAGACTTACAGTAGGTTACAGAGGCGAAGTAGCTGGTCTATGGCTCGAAGTCGCCGGCACGGAGGCGAAACAGGAACTGTTGAAGGATGAAGAAACTGAATCGCCAGCACCGAGCCGACCCGAGGCTGGCTGGAGGAGACGTAGAGGTGAGAGGCGGAGGTCGAGCCTAGATGAAATTGAATTGAAATGGAGGATGGATTTGGGGGAAGATGATTTGGGGGGGTTATAATATATCAGTATTGGCTTGCAACATTTTACAACGTTTGTCAAACGTTGCGAAAAGTCTACTTTTGCGACGTTGCGAAAAGTCCACTTTTGCAACGTTTGTAAAGACTTTTCTTTTGTAACGTTTGATAAATGTTGCGAAAGGTAAAACCTTCCGTAACACTCAATAAACGTTGCAAAAAGGGGTATATCGCAATATTTTTCTATAAAACGTTGTTAAAACTCATTTATATTAACCTAATAAACGTTGCAAAAAGGGGTATATCGCAATGTTTTTCTATAAAACGTTGTTAAAACTCATTTATATTAACCAATAGCAACATTCACTTACTAAAACATTGCCAAAAGACCATTTTAGCAACATTTATCAATAAATGTTGTCTTTTTAGTGTTGCAAATGACTATTTTTGTTGTAGTGTATTCAATACGATAGTGATCTCTTTTAAATGAAGCATACTAATGATATGCTAAGCCATCAAAAGACTTCTATATTGAGTAATCTCTTGACCAGAATCTAATAAGTTTTTTGATATCCAGGCATGAATTGGCATATTGTTGTAGTCTTTAATTAAGCAACAAATATTTTTTTGTATTTGTATAAGATGCTTGTCGTTGAAATTGTATTTTGGTAAAATTAAATCTTTATGACATTTAGGCTGTTTGACAAATCTTATTTGGAGAAAATAAAGTTTTGAATAGTGAGTTTTAAAAGAATGTGTAATTAAAAAGTAGGAAAAAGTTTTGGATTTACATGCAGAATATTTTATTGTACAAATATGTGGTTAAAAATGAGTACGTAGAAAAAAGAGTTTGAAAATAATGGTTATCAAACGGAGGTTTATATAATTCATCTTCCTCTTTCTTTATTTTTATTTTTTTTATTGGAACTATGTACTAATAAACCATCCATGAATATCGCCTAATAATAACAGGAAGTACATGGTCTTGGGAGCTTATCTAACTAAACAACATATTCAGTAGTGTATTTGGCATGTTAGCTAAGTCATAAGCTACTAAGTTACCAGTTTTTCTGAGTCCTCGAACAGTTAATTGCCACAAAAAGTTCATATTCTTTGCCTTCATTGCGCAAATCGTCCATATCTTTTCAATTACATTTTGGCTCTTAGATGGACATTTCTTTACATAAAGGTCCTTATCATCAATTTTTCCAATTAAAGCATTGTAAAATGACTAATTTACCGTGCTCTTTAAATAATAAAGTAGGCATGCAGACTTTCAAACTTTTTAAAAAGTACAATCGAGTCTTGAATAAAACAATTTAAAACATTCTAACAATAGAAAAATATATTATATTCCCAGTTAATCCACTACCCCTATGCCCATCCTCTACCCTCCATCACTAGCACCAAATTAATTAAAAGAGAAATAAAAGTATAAAAAACTAAGAAAAGAATTTAAAACTGAAAAAAAATGGTGCTTCTTTCTCATCCAATTTCAGACCTTGCCCTCGGCCACCACCATCTTCACCATCCATTCTCCCCATTTCACTGTGGCACTATCTAGAAATAACAAGAGTTTATATTCTTAGAAAATTCTTATTTATACCCAGTTCATCAGCTTTTGAATTTTGTTAAAGAATTTCTATATATGAGGCAAAAGAAACTTGGATAATGAAGAAGCATTATTTTTCTTTTTCTATTTTTAATTTTTTTTCTTACTTCTTTTATACTTTTAAGAGAAATGCTACATGTGTCGAAATGTTCGACAAATTTTTTGATAGATTTTTAGCTGGCAAGCATTTATTGAATGTTGGACACAAAACAAATTTAAATCAACCAATCCAATGTTACCACTTCATCATCTGTAATGTTTTCTATAATTTTCATCCGTACAAATAGCTTTATTCTACTTTTAATTCTCTTTTTTATTATTTTAGTGGTAGTAGTGGTATAAGGTTGGGGATGGACATAGGGTTAATTGGAAAGATAAAATATTTTTCTTTTGTTAGAATATTTTAAATTATTTTATTTGGGACTCATTTGTATTTTTTTAAAAACATTAAACTCTAGATGTAATTAGCCTTTATACAATGCTTTAGTAGAGAAAATAGATGTTAAGGATCTTTTGCGCAAAGTAAGGTCAATTTGGGTGCCAAAATGTCAAATTGAAATGATAGGGACGATTTGCGCAATGAAAGCAAATGATAGGGACTGTTTGCTCTAGTTACCTTTGCATTGCTTTTGTTGATCATGTGTTTAGTATCTTCTACAAATTGTCAAACCCTTAATGTGTCATATTTTTGGTCTCTGTCTATAGAGCACACACAAATAGATGTGCATGTAAAAAAATTAAGCATTTTAGGTAAAAAAACAATAATAATAATAATTGTATTCTACATCTTAAAGGCCGATGGAATGAATTTGGATCTAAAGCATGTGGAGATAAGTTCTGCTGAAACCGACTAAATGAGAGGTATTATTTTTCTTTCCTCAAGTTACTCATAGAGTGTCATATGAGTTTCATAGTTCACTTACAAAGGTTCCTCGAACTGTGGTCTATCCTTAAAGGTGAGAGTTTTCTGGAAAAGATCTGTGTGTAAATGTTTTGCTGGAAAAGATCAAGCATTCTGGGTAAATGTTTTGCTGGAAAAGATCTAAATTAAAGCATGTTTTGCTTGAAGGTGAGAGTTTCATAGTTCACTTACAGTTTGTGGGAAAAGATCTGTCTATCGTTGAATAAGTAAACAAAAGATTTGCTGGGAAAGATCAAAAAATTGAAAGTGAGAATTTGATCCTATCGGTGTGTAATGTTTAACATAATTGTGATCAAGTTCTAGTTTTGATTCTCTATTGTAATCATCTTAATAGAATATGACTCCACTACCTAGTCCATTTTGTTCTGCATGATCTCTCTTTCATCGGCATCTTTCCAGCTAAGGAATCCCAAAAATTTCTCCTTTTGCATGAATTCAATTTTCATTTCATATACGGAAAACCATCTTTTTTCTTAATAATTTCTTTGGGGTTTGATACAATAGCGAGTCATTAGGTAGGGAAGTATTTGATAATTATTGATAACTATGTGTCACAATATTAAATATTGAAACTTATTTGTTAGTTCATATTATATCTATTTCCTTAGCAACATTAATCAAATCCTATGAAGAATCAAGTTTGTCATTTTATTGTAGCGTTTTTATGTTTTTGTTAAGTTGTGTATATAATTTTCACCCAAACTTAATTTTTGTTAAGATGTTTTTTGGCACTATTTTGAACAAATTTTGACAAAATGAGTGAAAACACTTTTTTTTTTTTTTTGTGCAGGAAATATATTATTTTTGGAATAGCTAAATTGTTGATCAAAGAAGCGAACTTCGATATGGATCGATTATTATATAACATTTGAATCGGTTATTTTTGGAATAATAGTCTATACTTTTTGACTAGGCTAACGATGTTCTTTGTCTAGATTAACTCTACATTTTGACATATTATATTGGATCACGCTCAACATTTTAATTTATTGAAATTATGGAAATTATGATTATACATGTGTCGATATATTAGTTCTATTCTTTAATTATTAAAAATTTGCTGGTAATCAAATAAATAAATATTTTTAAAAGACAAAGTTGACATTTACGGCTTGAATTAAATGAATGCCATAAAAAATACCATCTTTTTTCGGCACGCGACTGCGCGCTATAAAAAGCTAAATGTCATCTTTTTTTACGGCGTGCATTAATGTATGCCATAAAAAGCTAAATATCATCTTTTTACGGCATGTGCATGCCATAAAAAGTGAATTAATGTAGTGTTTTTTACGGCATGCATTGTATGTCATAAAAATGGTAAGTATTTATGACTTGACTTTATATGGCATTCACATGTATGCCATAAAGAACTTTTTATGGAATTCAATACATATCATAAGAAGCAAATTTTGTTGTAGTGCTCTCTTATCTCGTATAGCGAAGAGTCCGAGTACCAAATACGGCCGGATGATACCGAGGGAGGTCCGCGTTCCATTTAATGACAACATGGCGGAGACGACAGCAGTTCAAGGCTCAAAGTGTAGGTCCAACGCCGAACACACAAGGAGGTTTAGTTTGCAGCTCCAACTCATCTTTCTGGAGAAAATCCAGTTTGCTTAGAACCAAAACCAAGTCCCGATTATTCAACCCATCAGAGAAAATTCAGAAATCCTAGAATCAGAGGACCACAAAATCTCAGTTTTTAGGTAAAGGAAGCGAAATCAATGAAGACGACTCGTTTCTAGATGAAGATTTGCCAGAGGATTACAAGAAAATGAAGTTCAACGCACTTTCGATTCTTCACCTTTTGAGTCTGATTATTGCAGCTTTAGTTTGTAGTTTAATTATTAATCTGTTGGGGAAGAAGGAAATTTTTGATTCGCAATTATGGAAATTAGAATTGATGGTTTTGGTTTTGATTTCTGGAAGACTGGTATCGAGGTGGGGGATTAGAATTCTTGTGTTCTACTTTGAGAGGAATTTTTTGCTATGAAAACGGGTTTTGTATTTTGTTTATGGCAGAAAAAGTCTATATATTATAAACATAAGTACATTTTACTTGTAGTGGCTAGTGGCTGATTCTTGAATAATCAAGTGGGTGGCAAATTTAAGACTGACCATAATTTTTTTTATTGAATTGATCTCCATTAAAACAAAAAATGACTTGGTTGATACATACATACGTGTGTACACTTAACAATTTTACATAAATTTACTGTGAGAAAGAGAGTTTGGGGACGACAATGGCAACAACAACGGAGACAATGGAAGGGACGACAATGATGGGTGGTGATAAAAGAGACGGGTGAGTAGGGATAGAGGACAATGGACAGGGCGAGGCAGTAGGGTAAAAACACAAAAAAAAAAAAAAAGAACTTGACTACTGCCCACCATGTGCATGAGATCAGGCCTGATGACATATAACATATAGCTTTATAGTTTTTCTTTCCTTTTAAAATCTAGCGTAGGTTGCATATATGAAGATCAACCAAGACCAAGACCGAAATCGTGTCAAATGGACATCATTTAAAGTGAACTTGACAGTGGTTAATGCTGGAAGAAAATCTATATAATGATGATTCCACCATCTTTTTAGAAGTTTTGCATTAGTTGCATTTTACTTCGGTCATAGTTGCTTCATCCCTTCACCCCATCTCACCCCACAGGTATTTAGGCACACACTTATAGATTCACTTGTGTAAACATTTGTATATATTTTTTATTTCTTTTGTTTGTATTTATGGAAAAGCAACTCCTGTGGTTTTTAGACAGTCAAATTCAATCTTTGTGGGGTTAGGATACCCCTAATAGAACTAATATATTAAAGTAATAAAGCCTTTTTAGCTTTATTTTTCTAAATTCTTTCTTAATATGTCTCACATCACCCAGGGTAAACCATTCGACTCTGACCTATTTAAAAGGCTAAACTTCCACCGCGACAATTAAGCTGCTCAATCCCTATACGGAAACATTGACAGCAATGAAAGTTGAAGAACGTAATTATTGCCGAAGGATTTTTCCAGTCAAGAATTGCGTTAGATTAGTAGGGAAATATCTAATTTTTTTTTTTTTTTTTTTACTGTTTCTTCGATGTCGCTTTTAGAAACAATTATTATAAAATTAAAGAGAACACACAAATAATAGATATATATACTAAATAGAACTGGAACATGGCAGTCCTTTAATTCACAAATCAAAACAATAAACACAAGAGTTTGACTTGAAACCTCACTGACCAGGTCCTTTATTTGAACATAAGTGCAAGTTGAAACATGGCTTTCTCAACCCACAAAAAAGAAGAAGAAAGGAAACAAACTAGAAGCAACATCTGTAACAGTGCATTATTCAGCATAACATTAAGGAAGAACTAGTTTTTATAAACTTAATTAGCCGCTTCTTAGCCTTTTATGACGCTCTTCGGATTTCTGAGCTTCTTTCTGCAATGGAATTACAGCCTTCTTGCTGAGGAAGTTCCTCCACCATACAGCTGAGCTTTTTGGCAACCTTGTAAAATGGCCATTCTAATTAGTTTACATACTGTTTTATAAGCATAACAAGCAATAACTTAAGCCAAATGAAGTATTCATTTTGGCTATTATAAGAGACACGGCAATGTATTTGTATAACTTGTTAAAGTTGTACTCCCTTAAGCTGTTAAAATATAATCCAATATATTTTATTTTTGAGGAAATGGCAAGAATTAAAAGCATACCTTTGCACTAATGGGCACCTTATTACGTTCAGCAAAAAAAATAAAAATAAAACAATTCTTAATGACAGGTCTTACTACTTGATGGCGAAACGTGCGAATCGGTGAGATAACTAGTATGTTATTACAAACGTTACAACTGTGCCTATAACAGGTCTTAATACTTACTTGATGGCGAAACGTGCGAATCGGTAAGATAATTATCAGTTGTTGGCTTTGTTGGATCATTGGCAGCATAAGTGGCCGTGTAATAGTTTGTACCTAAAAAGTCATATGATCCTTTCACTATCTTCTCCTCTTTTTCTGTAAAGTTTGGAAGACATTCACCAACATTTGTTGTCATACTTTCTGGATATTCTCCAATTACTATCTGTTCTACAAACCTTCAAAAGATAAATTTGAAAAAAATAAAATAAAATTATTTCTCACTCTCTAATTGCTCAAACTTCTAGACGAAGTCATTCCACAAAATCAGCATAAAAATCATAAAAAAAAGTGCAATAATAAATTAAGAAGAAAGCAATTTGGGTGATATATTGTCAGGATATCGAGTTACCATCCAAGCATAAAATCATTTCCTCTAGTGGTAGCTTCTTGATCTTCTTGAGAATCAGTAAGAGGCTCGTACCACTGAATGCAATTTGTCATCCGTCTTACCTCCTTGACTTTCCTGTAAGAACAAATGTATCATTTGTGCAAATTATATATTTCTGAGTATGATATAAATACGTATGTATGCATAAAATTACTAATGAAATTAATGTGGAAACCTAATATTTTCATCTATATATATCCACTGCCCAGGCATGAGAAAGGATCAAATGATGAGCCACAATCAATGTTCTAAAATGCGTAATGCGTAGCGAGACGTCGAGGTTGAGAATCAAGAATCACAAGTTTAGACGTGTTAATGCGAAAAATAAACGTCATAATGCGTTTCGTATTTTTAGTATTGTTTTAATTATTTTTAAGATATTAAATATATTTTTATATAAAAAATAGATATTTTACTATATCATAAAAAAAAGGGTTAATTTCACATTTTTCATTTTAATTGAAGGACCTTTTTCATTTTAATTGAAACTTAATTGACCAAAATAGCTGAAACTTGAACCTTGAGGACTTACATCGCAAATTTGACATGAAACTTGATTCAGGTTGAATCTGAAATTCTGAATCCGACATTTTTCTTGAATTTACTGTTCCGTTCTTGAATTATGCCCAAAGGCGATGAGCCAGGAGTAGGAACATATCAAAAACAATTGCAAGATCCACCCAAACCATTCAAAAAACAGATTCAAAAAGACAAAAACAATTCAAACAAGATTCACCAAACAATTCACAAAATCTATTCATAGAAAATGCGGCTCAAAGGGGCTTAATTGTTCACTAAGCATCTGACCAAGTAACCCTAGTCTCGAGTTTGTGAAATTCAGTGTATTCACTGATAATGAATCTCGATAACAGAGTTTCAATCCATGGAAAGTTAAGCAGGAAAATAGAAACAAACAGAATAAAATGAACAACAGCGGACATTTATAATCAGTGTAAAAATTCAGTTAAGAAGAAAAATAATAATTTAGAATACCTGGAGAGGATGGCAGCTGCATTTAGCAGTTATGCTTGATTGTGGAATTGCATTGGAGAAGTGAATGAAAGAAAATTTGTGAGGAGAGATCCAATTGGAAAGACAATGTGAAACAGGACTCTTCTAAAATTGCGTGAGTATACCTCTTATTTCAATTTTCATCCACCCACCTGGCCACCTACTGATAGGCCCATGATGGATGAAAAATGAAGAATGATGCCGTCTACTTTCAATGAAGAAGAAGAAGAACAGGAGGGTGGAAAATGAAGGATGCCGTCTACTTTCAATTTCGTTCAATTTTGTTTATACAGTAACACAGCCAAAGTATCCCACATCGAAATCTTACAGATGAAGGCCAAGAAATTTTGCCTATAAATAAATGGGCCAACAATCCTTTCATTTTCATATACTTCATGGGCCTATCACTTGGTGGGTTGGAAGTTAGAGTTTATGATTAATATTTATATTATATATAATTATTAAATTTATTAAATGGTAAAATTAAAAAATGCGCCTTTGCGCGCATTATCATGCCTTTGCGTGCGTTTTAGTGGTCAACGTTTGCGTTGACCGCATTTTTACGCGCATACCTTGAATGCGAGGCGTTTTAACCACGCCTCGCACCTAAGCGCGCCTAGGCGGCGCATTAAGCCGCCTTTTAGAACACTGGCCACAATATATGTTCTCAGCTGGGATCTCCACACTCAGCAGTGGATCCAACACCCTGCAAGGGGGCGCGGTCACGCTTGCTGGGTCCGCTGGAATAGTGCCAAATCGCAGGGGAAGAGGGAGACCGCGCCGGCGTGGGAGAGGCTTGGGTTTTGATTCGCCTCATTGCTGGTTCATCTTCTTCCCTCCTTTTTCTGTTTTGTTTTGAATTAGGCCCTTTGTTGGGTTGCCCGTTTCTCTCTCTTTTTTTTTTCCTGTTTTGTAATTGGGCCTTTTGTTGGGCAGCCAATTTTCCTTTTTTTTTTTTGGTAATTGGGCCTTTTGTTCATTTGTTGGGCAGGCGGCCCATCAGCATTTTTTGTTGTAATTGGGCCATTTGTTGGGCGACCCTCTTGCTTTTTTTATTTTGTAATTGGGTCATTTGTTGGGCGGCCCAATCTTTAATTATATATAGGTACAGCCCATTCAAAACTCTAAATCCATTCCAATTTCCACAAATCCACCCCCTATTCCAATTTCCAAATCAAATCTCCTCCTTGGCGACCCATGTTGTTGGTGAATCCTCCACCACTACCATCCACCAGTCCAACCAGTCGTCGTGCCGGTGCTGAAAGCTGGAACCTCCAGTGACCAACTGATCGCCTGTCCCGCCGTCAACTCACGAGTTCTCGCCTTCTCGGTTTTCTATTTTGATGTCTTTTTTTTGGGGTGTTATTTTCGATTTATGAGGCTGAAATCATGAGTTATCATTTATGTTGTATCATGTATGAATAATGAATTAATTGTCAATTTGGCATTGAAAATTTGAAATGAGAAATGAGTACTGAAATGTGATTTCACATTTCACTGATTTGTAAATTTTTGAATTCGTGAGTTGGCCATTTGGGGTAAG